AAAGAGAGAAAACATAGATAATTACCATCTTATCATCCCGGAAATGAGCTTTCTGAGTTCCATGTACGATATCCTGGCGACACAAAAAAAGGGAATGCTATCCAGTCTCCACTCTGTCAATCAAGCCATTTGCGTCTTTGTGGATGTCATTCGCTTCATAAAAGACCTTTTAGAACTTTACCTGCCAGGAACATATACTTTACTTTCTAGTTATTTGCACAAAGGCAAAGAATAAGTTGCACTTAGATGATGGGAGATATCCAAGGGGCAGTTCACTGTTCTTGACTGTTAAATAGCCCCTTTATGTTTCACTTCGTCATGTGGGATTCGAATTTAGAGTCAGCGTGCTGAGACTGGAACACTGTCTCTGCCACTTGCTAACTTAGCACTCCTCGGCTTCTGTGTGCTTCACTTTACATTTGCCTACCTCCCTGGAATAGCAAAGCTGGCTCTCAGTCACTGCTAGCTGTTTTAGCTGTGGCCTCACCTGCATAGTGGCTTTTTATCATCTCACTTCTTCCTACTCATGCCTCTTTCCCTGAAGAAACTGGACTTCTAACAGAGGTTGTTTTTCTTCTTACTCCAGGCCTTTTTTGGGGTATATTTGTGTTAAATAACTAAAGAAACATATTCTTTGAAGACATCAAAGAACTCCAGTTCTTTGATCAGAAGTTTGCTTGGTTGTTTCTAGAATTTCCTCATAAAACCATTGCTTTGTCCAGGGGGTGGTGGCACATGCCTTTAATTCCAACTCTCAGGAGGCAGAGTTCGAGGCCAGCCTGGTCTTCAGAGCCAATTCTAGGACAGCCAAGGCTACACAGAAAAACACTGCTTTGAACTGCCCCAAGAAAACCACACTGCTTTGTCAGAAGTGACAGAGGTGATGAGGGCTATTTACATATTATTGTTTTTATAAGTCCTAAAAGAATGCCTATATCATTTGTCAGGATTACAAGGTTAGAGGAACTTAGAGGTACTGTGAATTTTATTGTCAATTTTTGTTACCAGAATTGTTTCTCTCTCTGTCTCTGTCTCTCTTTTTCTCTGTAACTTTAGACTGCAAAAGCCTTTATGTAGTAATAAAGTGCAGATGTTTTATATTTCTTCCAAAACAATTAGTTTCCTATTTTAAAGTGTAAAAGCTTGTTAACTATCACAGACATGAAACTCATTGGCAAAACAGAGAGCAAGGTAGATGGGGACTCTGATTACATGAGTTCCACAGTTTTGCAGTCTCCCCCAGAATCCTACTCAAGCCATTTTCTACAGTTCCAAACTGAAAACACAAATGCTAATGATGCTGTATGTCGCTAATTTGTAGGTCTTTAAAATAATTTCAGACATGGACTCTCTGTGAGGCTGGACTTGAACTTGTGACCTATCTGCCTCAGTCTTCAGATCACTGAAATTGCATGCTTGCCACGAGGCCTGGCAAAATGCAATCTTTCTGCAATTTCATAGCATTATATGTGTATTTCTATTATTTGTGCCTTAAGGGCCTATGTGGACTATTTCTGAAAGAACCGAATAACTATTTTTGTGAAATATTAATTGACCCTGCACATTGAAGTCAAATTTCATTAACCTTGCAGGAGTGCATAGTGATGATAAGCTTGTTTTGGAATTCTTTTCAGAAGCCAATCATCTGTTCAAAAGGAAAACTGATTGTGTGCCAGTTCCTAATATTTAGACAAAGAGAAGAATTCTTTCAGATAATTTCTAAGGATTGATATATCATTTTATTATATTTCTAAGGATTGCTATATCACATTATTATACTTCTAATTTTCCTTTTTTAGACCAAGAATGGTGGCTAAGAGGTGAGGTTTTAGATTCAACTCTGGTTCTACCATTTACTAATTATGTAACCTATCTGCTTGTTGAAATTGAGGATAAAAATAGTTCTCCCCCTTGTGTTGAAGACAAAGTAGACTTTGTAGAAAGCATTGAACACAAAAGTAAGTGCTCCATATTTTAGATGGTAGCTGATAGTATGAATCTCTTAAAAATATTATTAAATTATATTCAGAAACTGCTTCATATTTAGTCGGGGACAACTATCTTGTCTAGTCTTTTAGGGGTCAAAATTGCTGATAATTTTTGAAGGTTTTAAAACAGAAATTATTGAACATAGACATTTCTGGCCTCCTCAAAGAATGTACTATTTCTCATATTTTGCTTCAGTGACAAATGTTTTAAAGCTCCCAAACCCAAAACTGAATGAAACCCAGGAGAATAATACATTTTGAGCCAGGAAGTTTAGGAGAGTTAGCATTTGCCTATTGTTTAAGTAGTCAATTCCCTGTCTCTTTATCTGTCATCACTGTGGCATGCCTTGATAGGTACCCGTTCTTTAGCATATTAATCACATCCTGACTGGACTCTGACTGCTAAATTCAATGATGTCCTAAGCCATCCTCATTTGTTCCAGTTAAATCAATTTTTGTATTTTTAATTTTCCCTTTTTGTCAGCTAATGCCTAACAGATGTTTCAAATGTTCCCTCAAGCATCCTGAACATAAATTTAAAAAAAAAGATTTCAAAAAAACATACTTACATATTGCTTAATAACGTTTTTGTCATTTTTGTGCATAATTATAATGTAAAAAAGGTAGAGAGAGCTCGATTTCATGGTTTGTTTTAATAACTGTCTATGCTTCTCGTCAGATATTATTGAGCAGCTATATTCATTAAAAGACAGGGGTACCCTTTGTGGAATCGCATATGCGAGTGTTTGGGAGTCAGGCTGTATTTCCTTCCTGGTTCTTTTGTTTAAGCCTCAGAATGCTGCTAAGCTCTATGTGAACTTGCTGGTAACTGCTGTTACTATGGCTGCGTGTTTGATAACTTGGAGTGATGATTGATAAGAAAAAGGTCCTCGGATTGTCTGCAATTCTGAATTTTAGTAAAAATTGGTTATAGTTTTTTCTTGTTGTGGGGGTAAAATTAGGAAACTGGAGTTACAATTTCAAGCCCTGCATTCCAAAAACTGAGTTCTGAGATGCTTCTGTGCTACAGGCGTGACTGCTTGCAGTGTGGACTCTGGGAGCTTACTCTGCCACCAACTGGAAGCATTTAGCCTGCCTCTGGGGAAAGGGGTGGAAAGAGACATTAAGTTAAACAATGAAATGTTAATCCAATCCCTCTGGAAAATGGGTTTCTTTGAAAATCACTCTTTGACTCATTATGCTTCTGCACTCAGACTCAGATTATGTCCAATGGATTCTTACCAACCCACAACAATCAACTGTGTCTTCAAAACACATTGGTCCTGATAAAGTGAAAAAATTTCTTAGAAGTGGGGATTCTCACTGTAGTGCACATTGAGAGATGTCACCAGAGATGAGAATGACATTGAGTCAGACACAGGTGCTGGAAAGGATCTGTTTTTTCACTTATTTTCAATGTAGCCCCAGACAGAAAAAGAGGCTAGCAAGCCGGGTGATGGTGCACACCTTTAGTCCCAGCACTCGGGGGGCAGAGGCAAGTGGATCTCTGTGAGTTTGAGGCCAGCCTGGTCTACAAGAGCTAGTTCCAGGACAACTAGGACTGTTACACAGAAAAACCTTGTCTCGAAAAAAAATACAAAAACAAAAAAAGAGGCTATCAAAGAACTTTAGCTCACTAGACTGTTGGAATGCATTTATTAAAACAATGTACTATAAGTCTCCCTTTTTTTTAATGCAATTGGAGATAGAACCTAGCGTTTCACATGAGCTAGAAAAGTTCGTCAATACTAAACTACACTCCCAGCATAAATTGATACAAGGAAACATGACCATAGTTTACTGGTAGCGAGCATTAGGTGTGCTGTGGTAGTGGGGCCTAACATCATGTAGTCATTGTTTATGAAAGAGGAACTGTTTCATGTATTTGTGAGGTACAGTAGCATTTCGGCATTTCTTTGATTTTGTTTGGTCCTGTGAAACAAGAAGTAAATCCAATTTACTGTAAGAGCATCTGTTCTTGGGGTCAGCTCTTGCTGTATTCTGTGAGTGGTTGTAGTTCATATTTTTATATTTGGCAATGCTATGAAGAGAAACCTTGGGTTTCCCACATGCTAAGCAAATGACCTACCTTTGAATCAGAGCTATAGCCCAAGAGTGGTTTTAAAGATGTGGGGCCTTGTTTGTTTTCTACTAAGAGACAGAATAGGGGTGGATTCAGGCAGGAGGGTGACTAGAGAAGAACTGGGAGGATTAGAGTGAGAAGAAAAACATCAGGATATATCATATGAGAAAAAAATCTATTTTCAATAAGAGAGAAAAATGTTCCTTTCAAAAATCACCTCATACACAAAAATGAGTGCAGGGATTTACAAGCTATATCTGGGATGCATTAGACAAATGACTATACGCAGGCACTCAAATAATTTTGACTAAATGAACAATTAAAGTACATGGATGGAGCCATTCCATCCTTGATCAGGCATGATCAAGCATATCTGATCAGGTATATCTGAGCAGTGATCAGGCATATCTGAAATTAAGATGTATATAAGATCAGTTTTTATGACCTTAGCTTTGAAATATTTTGTAAACTTCCAAAAGTCCAATTTCTCAGTAAAACCTAGGCCCATTCATGGCTCCTGAAGGCTTGTTCTCTCCCGCATTATTGCTTCCTAGAATCAAACTGAAAATGGAGTATGTGGCTAACATTGGACCTTTTTGGCTCCAGCATATGAGTGTTCTTGATTGTGCTTCTGCATTAGGTTGTCTGACCTATAATTTAGTTGTTAAAATAGGGATATTATTGGCATAGTGTCTTGGAATGTTTATTCAGATACTCACTGCTAACAATGTATATTTTATTCTTTCTAGAATTATCATGTGGTTTCATAGATGGAGACTGGAGGCCACTACAGAGAATTCCATCTATGCTTTAAGTTGTGTAGTAGAGCTTGTGTGATTGTGACTGTTCTTGTTGGCCAGTAGCACAAAGCGCATGTCTGTATTCTTGTAGCATATTTCTTCATAATGCTTTCTTATACATTTCCCCAGGTATGGCAGCAGCCAAACTTCTGCATGACTCTGGCCTCAGTGTGGTGGTTCTGGAAGCACGGGATCGTGTGGGAGGCAGGACTTACACAATTAGGGTAAGACACTAAGAATCAGAATGAGAAACATGGTCTGAATCATGAGTTGTGGTTTTTCTTTTTCTTTCCTTCTTTTTTGTTTCTGAGACAGGGTTTCCCTGTGTAATAATCCAGGCTGTCCTGAAACTCTCTTTGTAGACCAGGTTGGCCTCTAATTTACTGAGATCTGCCTGCCTCTGCCTCTCAAGTGCTGGAATTAAAAGCTTGCAGCACCACCGCCCACCCCTGAATTGTGATTTTAGACTTTTGTATTCCCTGAAAGTCTTGTTACTGACTTTCTAAAAGGGGGTAACATGACTCCAATAAGGTAATATTTTCCTTATAATGCTTCTCTTTTTCTTTATCATCATTATCATCATGAGTGCTAAGAATGTTCCTTCCAGGAACTTGCACATGCTAAGCACATGAGTTGCCTAAACTTCTCCTAATTTGTCGCTCTTTCAACTCTTCCTTCTCTATGTTTTAGTCTTCTTAGTTCATAATCGACATTGTAGAACTAGGATTAGAAAGGAGGAAAATGAAGAGGTAGACTGTAGTATAGCAGTAGCAAGAACACTATCAGAAGTCTGAACTTCCTAATCCTAATTTGGAGGCTCCTCTAGAACTAACACAGTCATTTCAACTATACAAACTAAATTTAGGGATGCATGGGGAGTATCATTTCAGTTACTTATTAATTTATTTATTTTATTTTGTTTTTAAACATCAAATCACAATTATGATACATTTATGGGGTACAACGTGATACATATACAATGTCGGTGATTAAATCAAACTCATTAACCATTATCTCACTCACTCGACATTTTTGTGGCAACATACTTGAAATCTACTCTTCGTTTTTTGAAACATACAATGCATTATTATCAACAAGGGCCACCTTCCTATGCACTACAGCTCAAAACTTGCTCCTCCTATCTAGCTGAAGCTTGTATGCTTTGGCCAGTTACTCCTCATTCCCTCCATCCCTAACATTCACACCCATGAAACCTCTAGTACACACCATAGTATTCTTTTTTTTCTTTTTTCTTTTTTTTCACCACCAGCCTCCCCTTTAATAAAACATGGAAGGTGTGTGACAGGATAAGGGAGGAGTGAAAATATGACCATTTAAATCCACAAAAAAAAAAAGAAAAAGAAAAAAAGAAACCAAACCCAAAACCAAAAACCCTCTGTACATGTCTAGCACCTGGTAGAGGGAGGCAGGCATGGCGCAGCAGGCCAGCCGGCCATATTTGTAGAGGATATTGTAGTGTCCAGGTCGGTAGAGAAGGTAGACCTTGGACACGGAGCCCTCAGGGAAGATGTGTGGATTGATGGTGCCACCCTCACCACGGTCCATGTACTCTACTTGAATGGACACGCTGAGGGCCTGGGCCAGGGCAATGATGTGGATATGGTCACTCTCCTTGCACATGGGTTCTACCTCCTGCTGGCAGAACTCCTTAACAGTCCGGCCACCCTCAATAAAGTGCTCAAAGAACTTGCTTTCCCACTGCAGGTAGCCCAAGGTGAGCAGCCGCAGGTAGATCACAAGGTAGTCTGAGGTGCTCTGGTCATTGAAGGAGGCCAACAGATCAGCTACCGAGGTCTGCTTCTCCACCTGCTCGATAAGGTCCATGAATGTGTTGTAGAAGTCCTCGATTGTGAACTCTGTGAAGCCCTGGGACACCAAGTCCTCTTTACTCTTGGCAGACACAGCCTTGAAACGCTGCAGCTCCTTGCTGTCATCCAGGAGTGCCTCCAAGTGGGAGAAGCCAAACGCTCAGTAGAAGCAGTTGCCATCGGGCCTGGTCTTTCGGATGTTGGAGTACTTTTGTGGAGGTCTTTGATCTTCCATTGATAGATGTTGTCATCCTCAGCGTACTCCTTGTACAGGACTGAGAGTTCCAGACACTCGGACACCAGAGGATTCTGCACAGCAATCTCTTGCTGAATTCAGTCCTGCTGAGCCATAATTGCTTCATCATAGGCCAGACAGTTAACACCTTCAGAGTCGCTGCCCAGCGGCTCCTGCTTCTTCACACACCATAGTATTCTTTACTTTTATGAGTTTAACTCTTTTTAGACATATAAGTAAGATTATATAACACTTATCTTTCTCTGATTTATTTCACTTAGCATAATGTTCAGCAGATGCATGTATATTGTGCTAAATGACAGAATTTTCCTGTTTGTAAAATGTGGATAGTGTTCCATTGTGTGTATCTATAGTATGTTGTATTTGTCCATAGAGAATAATATTCTTTTTACAGTGACAGATAACTCCTTTGGGGGAGCAGGGACTAGACATCAAACGATTAAATCAACACAGACAAGTCACGTCACTACTGATGTCACTCATAAGTTTCCAGTTTGGCTGAGGTGTAGTCGGAGATATTGGGCTCTATTGTGAGTGATGGGTTCTGACGTGTCTTGCATTTTCAGTGGTCAATTTTCTTTCAAATTAAAGATTGATTTAATAATTAAGTCATGTAATTCAGGCAAAGAAGAGTTGAGAACAGAACTCAGTTTTCCACAGATGCAAATCAAACAGATCTATAACCTGTTTGATGTTAATTGCTTATTTCAGAAGTGTTTATTTTAAAAATGTTATTTCAAACAGTCATCTTTTTTTTCTCATGAAACAACAGAATAAAAATGTTAAATATGTGGACCTTGGAGGATCTTATGTTGGACCAACCCAGAATCGTATCCTACGGTTGGCCAAGGAACTCGGATTGGAGACCTATAAAGTGAATGAAGTTGAGCGTCTGATCCACTATGTAAAGGTAAGCCTAAGACAGACATGGAAGGTTTCTTCATTATGATCAAAGATATATTGGGTGGCAATTCTAAATCTAGTTAGGAAAGCTGTTGACAAAATCATACTTCCATTTAGTAAACTATATTACAAATTCAGTAGAAAAATATTTATGATTTGCTTATTCAATATCTCTATTTAAATACCTGTGGCACTTGCATGTTATGTAAAAATTCGTTTATAGTTTTCAAATGTTTCCCTAGAATTTCTATTACAAACACTGTTTGTAATATAACTCCGCAAATATTTTGATATTTTTGCCATTGCATTCTACATGTCAGTTAAAGTTATTTTTCTCTGGAAATTGATGTAAAAGTAGCTTGATAGTCAAAGTCCATCCATGTCATGGAATCTCCACTGATTCCCCTCCCAAGATTTATCCGAATATGTTGTGTCTCTCTCTCTTTCCTAGGATCATTTGTGACTCATTGTCTTCTCCTCCATACCTATACTTATTCACCTCTCATGGCCTACAGGTCTCTTCTTCTTTTCCTCTGTGCCACCCAGGGTTAACATTTACCTCATCATATTAATTTCCTTGAGTTCATCAGAGAATCTGTGTGTATCACACATTGCTGAGGGTTTGAGGAATGGATCACTTTTGAAAAACAGAAATTCTGGCAGACAAAAGAGTCCCTGAGGTTTTCTCACTGACCACACCCTTCTGTGGATTCCAGTTCTCCCATCAGGACTCTTCCTGTCTCACACCTCCCTATTCCCCCATTTTTCCATAATCCTCACTTTATTCCCAAAGCCATTGATAATTTAGACTAAGCAAAGAGTCATCTATTCTAGGCATCACTGTGAAGTCCCATCACAGAAGAACTACTAGGTTTTATTTATAGTCTTTTTATTTAAAACGGTCTAATTATGTAGACAAGCCTTGACCTGGACTCAAGACTCATCTGTTTCTACTTCTAGAGTGTTGAGATTAAAACTGTGAGCCACTCCAACCGCTCTGGTAAAGTTTTTTATTATTATTATTTGTTTCATTTATCTTTTCTTCAGTTGCTCCCGCAGGTGGAAGGAAGCCATAGAATCTTATTGCCACAGAAAAACATCACTCCCTTAGAAAAATGGAAGAAAGAGGAGCTAAGAGAGTAGCTTGGAAGTGGAGCATATGCTAAGCATGTATGATAGTATGTTTGCAAGCATTTGCTTAACATGTATGAAAGTCTAGGTTTTGTGGGAACATGCTAAGCATTTATGAAGCCCTAGGTGCAAGAGCGCTAGCTAAGCTTGTATGAGGAGACCCTAACTTTGGTCCCCGTGACCATCCAAAGTTAAATCAAAACAACAAAATGAAGAAACTACTAACAGTTTTTATTTGTATAACATTTTAATGGACTTATATTTGTGTGATATGATTAAGAAGCACAAGTAACAAGCCAGACATTATAAATCATTTAGTAATATAGATATGAAGCAGCTATTTGATTTGGCGTGAAGGAGTATAAAATGATTGCCCTTCAAAAGACCTTGTTTTATAAGCCTTTTCTTTTTTTCAATATGAGAGTCACCGAAAAGTGGTCATGGTGATAATGTGACTTGCTTACCAAGACTGTCCTCAGTAAACTTACTGTGTTAGCTTCTTTGATTTTTAAATTTGCTGTCAAATTGATCATTTAAGAAAATGTCTTCTTTATTCTGCCTACATGACTTGCAGTACTGAGTCATTGCAGCACCAAGATCTACTAGGTTTCTGCAGACAAAGGAGATGAACAGAGTGCACATTGGCTGTTCACTTTGCACTTTGCAGGTGTTCCTTGCCTCAGAGCTGTGTTTAGAAGGTTTTGTTTCATTCTGACAATCTTACAACTTAAGAAAAAATGCTTCCAATTATCAACAGTGGACATGATGCTGCCCTTAAATCATTTTTTTTACAGTGGATGCCGAATGTGCTTCTTTCTTAAACTATTCTATTAACCTGTGCTCAGTTAAGAAGATATAAATAATGAAGCACTGTCCGTGACTTAATACAGGGTGAATATATATGCCAATGTACTCTTTATAAAATTTAGAATGACTGTTGCTGTTTTTTGTTATTGCACAAGTAAAGCATGCCTGCTGTAAGAAATAGACAATATGAGTAGAGCAAAACATTTTACAAAGAAATCCTCCATTATCTTTTCTTGAAAATAAAATAACTCTCAAATATTCTATGGCTTCCTTGATTTTCATAGTCCAGGACTGCTGCTGTCTGACCTCTGCTGGAGGAAATGGGAAATATCTGTGAATTTTATAAAGTCACAAGCATATGCATAAATATGTGCTTGGTATAACAACTTTAGCTCTAATTAATTCTCACTAGTGTGAGCAAAACTGAGTCACCAATGACACTGGAGGTCTACAATATGGATGATGTGCCACAATGGGCTCTCAGTGGTTATGTCCACTGAAGGCCTTCATGCTAAGAAAATAATGAAGTCATTGGTCCCAAACTAAAACTTGTTCCCTATTTTGCATCATTCTTGTCCTTGGCTACATGACACTTTTCATATTTTTAACCCATAAAAAAGTTTCTGATTGGCTTGTCTATTTCTGAGATTCTTACAAGCACTTGATCTCCTCCTCCAAGCCAACCAGTGGTTCAGAACCTTGTCTCCTCTCTTAGGGAAGGCAACTTTGACAGTTTGAGCATTGGCCTCTATTACCTACTTTAATAATTATTGCCTCTGAGCACAAACTGCAGTTTATGGAAATATATAATATTTTTCCCTGTTTTTCTCTGTGGACTTTAATGCATTTCTTAACTGGAATCCTAAGATTATCCAGTAGTATGCTGTTTGCTGTGTCATCAGATCTTCTGAGTTAGCTTGTCAGAGGAATGTTTTCTTTGTTTTTAATTTCTTGCAAGAGTGTTAATGGAAGATTGTTTATGTTCTTGCTCTCTCCATAATAGGGACCCATAACCCCTGGTGTAATGAACAGGCTTATATAACATCTAGATCCATTTCTTCTAATCTGTGTGTAGCTATAGACCGGCATTCTTTTAGTGTTACTATAGATCTGTTTTAAGTTATTAAAATGTGATTTTGCCAAAGATAGCTTTGTGATAAAAGAAATAATAACAAAATTATGAGATCTAATGATCAGTGAGAAAATTGATCACTTCGGCTCAAATTTATATAATTTACAACATATTTTTACATACAGTATGCCATAATGAAGCCCATTATTTGTACAATTAATATATGCTAACAAAGATTAATAAAGTTAATGATGCAGCCATTAGTTTTTAGCAATTATTTTTAAGAATCTACTTATATTCTGGTGTTACATTCTTATGGTATCATTTAGAAGATAGCTTTCTAGATGGCTTGGAAATGACTATTTCCTTTTTAAAAGGAAAAAATTTAGTAGAACACTTTTTATGAAACTGCTGTATTTTGGGCTTTTGCCCCATCCTCTATCACTGTATATATGTTTTCACATGCATAAACAGGTGATTGTTTTGTTGTTTGGTTATTGTTCTTCTGAATTCCTACTTTGGAGATTTTGGAGACAATTCTGAGGCTATCAGTAAAGGAAATTTCTCTGTTTCAGAAGCTTACATATATATGAGAATTGAAACTAAATTTCAGTACGCATGAAACCACCTTAGGACTTAAGGCTCATCTAACAAGTGATTGGTTAATGCAAAGGTGTAAGGTGACTTAACACTGAAAGCAAAGCTTCATAGTGATACTTATTTCTAGCCTTCCATTATAAAGAGAAACTCAGCAAAAGGGCATTTCAGTCTTGACCTGCTTGCCTGTGGACAGAAGCAAAGTTGATTTTCAAAGTCCTTTCTGTGTTGTTATGGTCAGCTTCAGTTCTGCAGAAGCATGTGACTGAAGAGACATCTCACTATTGGATTATCGGTTTGTTGCTGTTACAATTGCTGTTGCCTAAACAAACTGGGGAGAGGGAACACTTGGCACCACTCCTCAGTCTTGTTGACAACTCTGAAGTCCACTACCTGGTGCACTGGGTGGTGGTGACTCCTGCCTTTAATCCCAGCACTTGGGAGGCAGAGGCAGGTGGATATCTGTGAGTTTGAGGCCAGCCTGGTCTACAGAGCGAGTTTCATGACAGCCAGAGTTACACAGAGAAACCCTGCCTTGAAAAAGTTAAAAAAAAAAGAAAAGAAAACCTGGTGCATGAAAATCACATAAAGACAGCGAGATCTCCTCCTGAAATAATTCGATTTCAGTGAACTCCCTCAATTGTCTCTTGGTATTGGAGTAGAAAATACTGAAAAATAAAGTATCCAAATGATAGTTGGATCTAACAAATGAAAATTATCCTGTTATGCAAGATGCCAAAGGAGAAAAGCAATTAATAGTTTTATGTAGCTGCAATGTGTATGAACCACAACAATGACCAGAATGGCAAGGTATCCCAAGAGGTACAATAATGACACTTACATTCTGAAGGTAAGCAACAGCTATCTAATTGGATTTAAGGCTTTGTCAATGGGGAATGAATGACTAATACCGTAAACTTAGCCACTACTCTTGACTGCTAACCCCATGGACTTAGCAGAGATCCTACTACTGCCATGGTCCTAAACCACTATAATTTCTAAGTGCATTCTAAACACTAATCCTTATGCCCACAGATATGTTTAGCTCCCTCCCCTCATCAAAGAAGTTTCTTTTTGCAACAAGTGAATACCATTGCAGAAACCTCAAACTGGTCAAAATGCAGAGATCAGCTAGCTGGGGGAGCCCGGGCCCAATTGATATATCAACAGCACAGTACTACTTACAGCTCAAGAAACATCATGGAAGAGGGGTGGAAAGATAAGATTCAGGGGACCAGGATGTCTGCCTTGAGATACAGAGAAGCTGTAGCCATGAAATCTCAACCGTATGATTGTCTAAAGGAGGTCTGAGAAGTGACAGTACCGATTGGCATGCTAATGTGGTTGGGGGAAATCTGGCAACTAGATGGAGAGGTACAGGCAGAGAAAACCTGCTGAGA